TCTACTCGTCTTTCATTAAATCCTACCAAGGGATTTTCGGTGGGATGGATTTAATCTTGAGTTATTTTTAGCTGATCGAAAGTCCATTTGGTTATGATGTTGGCATTGCTTCCGGGGTCAATTAAGACTCTTCTGACCAGACAGTTTACTACCAAGAGACTGGTTACTAAAAGGATCCTTGTGCAGTTGCTGCACCCTCTTGAGGTCTCCTTCATGGAAAGAAATTTGGGTGGAACTCAATCTATTTTCGACTGTGTTGATTTCCCTGATCCTCCATAACTTGCGGGCTCGCTTGAGTTGTATCCTATAAGAATTTTTCGACTGTTCGTCTTCCTCTGGACGACTGTGGATCATGTTAATGACTCGAATGAGTGACTATCTGTTGCTATCTTCGGGTTTGGTCTAGCCTGCTCGGATGGCTTCTAATGGCCAGGATCAATTAGGTACTCAACTAATTCGCCTCTGGCTATCAAAGCCTCCACTTGTCTCCTCAGGCTCATGCAATCATTCGTTAGATGCCTAAAATCACTATGGAATGCGCAGTGCTTGCTCTGATCCCTTTGGTCCATTGGTTATCTGATTAGATGAGGGATTTGGAATATTTTCCTTCCCTTGGTTTCCTAGTACAGTCTGGCCAGCGTGGTTTTGAGTGATGTGATCCTTTTTGTCGTTCGTGGTTTTTTTTTTAAGGAACTGCTGTCAATATTTGGTGGTTCTCATTGAGTTCTTGGGATGCTCGATCGTTCTCTTGGTCGACTTTTCACTATGACCAATGTTGCCCTCTACTGCCTTGTCATCTCATTCTCTTTCAAGTCTGATGTAATTCTGCGCCCTTGCGTTCAGTTCTGATATATCTGATGGAGTCTTTTTTACTAACGAAGAGTGGAACCTTGTGTCTTGGATCATGGCTATTTTGAATGCCTCTATGGCTACAGCTTGGTTGCAGTCTGGAATACCAGAGGACTTCATATTGAATCGAGTGAGAAAGGTTTGGAGGCCTTCTTTTTTCCTTTATTGAATAGTGAAAAGGCTGCAGATGGTCTTCTTCTACTTATTACTTCCGCAGTATTGGACTAAGAAGGTCGTGCATAACGTCTCAAAGTTCAGGATAGATTTGTGTGGTCGGTTCTTGAACCATTCCGATGCCACTTATGTCAGACTAGACAGAAAGATTTTGCACTTAAAAAAGTTGTTTCGTGCCTCTAGAGTTATCTCCTGACTGTAGTAGTCTAAATGCTGGAGGGGATCCCCCGGACAACCATTGAATTTGATGAATTTTATAATGTTAAACTTCTTGGGTCTTTCGACCTGCTCTATTTCATCTGTGAAAGGATTCTTGATTATAGAGGCAGTGAATTCTCGCGCCATGTCCTCGGGTGTTTAGACTTTCAGTTCATTGATCCGTTCATCTAATTCTCTCCAAAAGTTTGCTAGTACGTCGTTCCCTGGCAATTAATGGTCCCTATCCAGAGCCCAGGTATTATGTTTCCCTGATTTGGCATAATCTTCCAATGTTTGAGTCTGGGTTACTCGTGGTCCCCTTAATGTGGAGTCACTATGACATGGGATTGACTTACTATATCATCTCCTTCATGTTGGGCCCTCGACTGTTGGGGGGATCGTTGAGTCCTTAGTCCTGTGGTGCTAGCAGTGGATCTATCTGTTAATTCTGTTGCTTGGGTTGAGGACTGAACGGGGCTAGCCGATGTTCCACTAGTGGGAGTGGATTGGCCTGTAAGGCGGTAACCCAAAGTTACTCGTTCTCTTGACACAAGGCATTGATCTGTGCTGTGCTAGCCCCATTGGCTTGTCTTAAGACGTTGATCTGTTCAGTGGTGGCCTTAATGGCTTAGCACAAGATGTCAAATTATGTCTGCATCTCCTGACGCATTTTCTGTATGACTTCCAATTGTTGTAGCTGAACAGCATCTGACCCTATCGTCATTCCGGAGCGATGTTGTATATAAAGTGATAGTGAGAGGCTTTTTTGTAGAGCTTCCCACAAATGGCGCCAAAATATAGGTGCAAAATTTCCCAAACTAGATCTTGGATCCAATTTGAGGAATTAGACACCTAAACACTAAAAACAGGATTAATCAAAAGATGATAATTGAAGAACTGTAAAGGAAGAGAGACATAATTTGCAAAAGACTATAAGCAGAAAAAATGGATGTCTTTTATTTGGTCCTTGACCTCTTATTTATATATTTACAAAGAGATTTTTATGGGGGCATTACTGGTTATTTTATACTTGGGTATTCATCCCTCCTGATTCTTTGCGATTTCCTTTTATAATGGGTGTTACTTCCAGTGCGTTTGAATTTGGTTTGGGTTAGCTGGGCTTTACTTTCTTCGTTTGGGCCGACTTAAAGTTTGATGTCTTTTTAGATAGGCTCTTGATTGCTTTTGGTTGGATATTGGGCTGGTCATGCCAATGATGGGTCTTTCTTTTTCATGGACATGTGGTGTTCTGAGATTGGTGGAGAAATTTCGCTCCACAATTAGTCTGTCTCCTTTCCTTTTAATTAATTTCCACTATTTATTATCTCATGTGTTGGTTTATTGCTACGGACTTGGATCCCTCCTATTGAGGACGTCGCGTGGTCTTGTTCTACAGTGTTTTGAGGCACAATAACTCACCCTTATTATAACATTCCAAAAATTTAAAAACTTGCCATTAATATATTTATTCTCTTTCTTATCTATCTCCTTCTATATCCCTATCACTTATTTTCTCCATCTCTTACACCCCCACACTTTAACCATGGCCAACTTCACCTCTTACACCTCCACCCTCTAGTGATGGCCATCACCCCTCCCCTCTCAACCTTCTACCACCACCCCCTTCTCCACCGACCAGCATATTTATAGACGCATATAGCTTGGTAAGGATGTGTGTCTAAACCCATATGTATAAATCTAATTTGAATAAGAACCAATATATTCACGCAAATACACTTGTTAATCAAAACATATATATAAAATCACACATTATTCTTCTATGTTGAAAATCTTTTAATTTTTTTCAATTAGTTTTCATCAGGTTGATTTTTTTTTTTTGAGGGTTGATTAATATTCCAAAAAACAAAATAGGCTATTTAAAGGAATTGACAAATACCGCCTTAATTAATTTTAAGTGACTGCCAACTCTGGCTCCAAACATCAACGTTTCAAGGCATAAGATAGGTCTTCCATCACATGAGGGGATCTAGATCCCATTGCTACACCTACACCTACTCCTTCTTCTTCTTCTTCTTCTTTTTTTTTTTTTTTTTGACATTTGAATAAAAATTTGTATCATTACTCCGTTTGTGCATCAGTTATTGCATACAAAAATGTAAGATGCTCATTGTCTGTTTGGATGTAAAATATTTTTTTAAAAATATATTTTTATTTTTTTTTGTGTTTGGTAGTCGTTGAATATTTATGAAGAAAAAAAATATTAAAACTTAATAAAAATAACTTACCTATCAACTTTCTACAAATTATTTTATACATCTCATCCGATAGATTCGACCTATGCCAAACACTATAAAAAAAAAAAAGAATAATAATTTATTTGAAAAAAAAAATAAAAAAAAAAATATTTTAGTTCAAAACAAACCTAAATTTAATAACTAGTAGTCCATCAATTGTATATAAATGCACAATTGACAACTTTCAAAAACTTCAGACAAATCTAAAGGAAAAGTAACTACTCTCAAGGAAATTAACAATAGACAAGTTTATCAACAACCAGACAAACATATTAAAATTAATAGTGTGATTGATTATAAAGCAACAGTAGACAAATCTAAAGGAACAGTAGAGATAATTGATCATACACAATCAAGTCACAGCCCACATAAAATTCTGAAAAAAGATTTACCTACCCTATACAAATTACTACTAGCTGTCTAGATTGGATTAGAGCTACCCAAATCTCTATGAAAGCTTTTTAGGAACTGGAAATGATATCTACCACATGTAGAGAACCTTTTCGATCAAGTGACAAAAGAATCCATATCCAGGTGTGAGAAACACCACCATGTACCAGTAAACCATCAAACAAAAAGGATACTTCGGTCACTTTGTGGTATCTATCTATATGTATCTTTGATCCAGTTGGGAAATGGTTGGTCACATGGCTACAAGTTAGTCTCACGTGGCCACACATGCTTTGGGACTCCTTCCATGTTATAATGATCAAGAGAGTCAAACTTGAAAAGCTAATGTCTCTTTAACTAAACCAAACTCAATAATCCATTGCTAACTAAGCCAAAGATGATAACTCTTTTTTAAAACAGTACTGTTTCTCTCTCTCTCTTTATATATATATATTTTGGGCAAGAAGGAAAATATCAAAAAAAATTCTTTCGATTATCTAGTACATGCAAATAACTCCCTTAACTTTCCATCCGAAATAATTAACAAAGACCGTAAAAGGTTCAAATCTTCATAAGAATCATTCGGGTTTGGGAGTTTCTTATCATATATATATATATATATGATAAGAAACTCCCAAATCCATATATATATATACCCCAAGTATAGAAAAAAATAATGACCATAGTTGCTTGAGGTAGACTACCAATCATTCAATCCATATATATATATCTATATCATAGCAACGTGAAAACTGTCACTATCTTGTCACACATGTACATGTTAGTTTTGAGCACAAAGCAACTAAAGTTCAAGAATCCACAACGGCATTAATATTTCAAAATTGCATCTAAAACCATAATACAAATTTTGTCTTTTAGTTTCCATGTTAACAAATGTGTTCTAATATTCTTCACACAACTTTAGCTCACTTGTTTCTGTTTCACCACCTCGTTATTTTATTTGTAATTTTATTTTTAAATTTTTTTACCCTAAATTCGCATTTTAAAGGGCAAAAAAAATACCACTATCTTACGACCCCTGATTTAAATAATCTCATAGATAAGACATTAACTAGAGACTCAATATACAGGGAGACAGTAAAGCATCTCCTTTCCTTTATAAGCATGAACCCATCACTCTTGTTAGGCCCTGCAACCAAACACAACGCAACCAGAATGGTTTCTCTAGAAAACATTCAGGCAACCTCCACACCCATTGAACCAAATTCAAGCCCCCGGATCTCTTTTTCAACCGATTTTTTCGATGAAGAAGATTTCATCTCCATAGACTTGAACTCTCAGACTCAGAAAGAGCACAGAAAGGCGCCAGAGAAAACGCGCAACAACGAATTTGAGTTTCTCTCTGGTGATTTTACGAGCCAAACCGCGATAAGTACTGCTGATGAGCTATTTTCCCAAGGGAAGTTGCTTCCTTTTTGCCAAACACAGAATTCAGAGACACCAAACAAGATGAGTCTTAAAATGGAAGGAGAGGAAGAGAAGGAGGTGAAAAAGGAGGAGAGTAAGGTGAGTTGGTTTATGGATGATGATCCATCTCCTAGGCCTCCTAATTGCACTGTTCTATGGAAAGAGTTGCTGAGGTTGAAGAAACAACGCGCTGCTTCTTTATCGACATCTTCCTCTTCCTCCTCATCGCGTTCTTCGAGCTCAATAGGCGATTTGGCTCCCATTGATGAAGGGAAGGAAGCATTAGGAAAGAGAGAGAAGCATGTCAAGAGGATAAAGAAAGGGTTGGATAGGGCAAGATCAGTCACTGTAAGAATAAGGCCTGTGGTTAATGTGCCCATTTGCACACAGGGGAAGAAGACTGCTCTGCCTCCTCTGTTTTCCCTCAAGAAAGGAAGGCTAGAGAGGTGATGAGACGGAAGAGGAACTATTTTTTTTGTTATTTATTATTATTATTATTTTTTTTTATGGTAATTAGCATTTTTTTTTTTTTTTTTTTAATATGGAGGATTGTCAGTTATGATCTTTTTTTGTGCGTGTAAATTTCATTTCTTTGTTTCTATGTCCAGGAAAATATGCTAATATGTGTGACTAGTTACAATATAAATGCTGACTTTTATTTTTGTTGGATGCTATCAATTGCCAATTCGATCTCGTAGGTGGTGGTAGTTTTTATTTTTATTTTCTTTTTCTTTTTCTTTTTCTTTTTGCGAAGTAATTCATCTAGTTTTCTTGTTTCACCAAAAAGTGACATTTTTTTTTTCTAGCTTTCGGAAGGAATTAGGAAGCAGCCGCACGGGTGGGTTTGAGAGAATATAATACGTATAACTCGAAGGAATCAAACCTGATGATTGTTGTACAATTTATTTATATACTTATTTATTTTTACAGAATATATTAGCCTGGAGATCACGTACATGGTCCTACTTATATTTGGGATTAAAGCGAAGTGAGAAAAACATTCCTAATATTTACATTTTCGGCCAACATCCAGTCTTTTATTTTGGGTATATAATGTGAGATATAAAATTTGTAATTGACGAATTTTATTATCAAAACAAGGATGTTGGAGTTGTAATTTTAAGTCCAAATTTTAAATTCAAGGTCGGAAATGGAATGGAAAAGTTGTTGGTGATCAATAGATTGATGATTTCGAAAAGGGTAAGAACAACACTTTAGGAAACTTAGTTAAAAGGTAAGTACACTTGCTTGTTTTAAAAAAAATAAGCGTTGTCCAAATTTTCTAAGTGTAAAAGCTTTTAGTTCAGGTCTGGCCAACTTAAACCGATTAAAGAGCAGCTGAACTGATTCAAATGTTAAAGCTTTATTCAAAAAAACATACACTAGCCAACTTGAACCGGTTCAAGTCTTTCAACAGAATATGGTAACTTTGTTTCCTACTCTGTTTTAACTTCCTGAATTTTGTATCAGAGATTATTTTAATTATTAATTTAGTTTTCTTTCAGCATTATTATTTATTTTATTTTTGTTTCCCTCTTGTATTATGTGTTCGTTTATTACTCAATTATTTTGATATTTCCGGGTCTTCGGGTGTGGACATGAGCAACCTACACTTGGAATTTCGGGAGTATCACATTAGGATTGATCTTTTTTGAGGTTTTGGTTAGTTGTGTGTTGAAAGTTCAGTGTGGTCAAGAATTTGAAGGCTTTTGGGGTTGCTTGTTGAGGTTTTGGGACTGTCTATTGCTTGTTGACAAATTTTTGGGGATTTAAAGGATTGAATCTCTCTTTTTGTAAAAACACTTTTGGGTCGCACGTCAAGCGTTCGACAAAATTACTTAACGAACTTGGAAGCTTCAAATCAAAATTTTTTGTGAATCAAAATGGCTCCTAAGGCATCCACAAAGGCAAAGGGCAAAGAGATTGCTACCTGAAGGCCTCCAAAACGTGCTATAGAACTAGAATTTTACTCCGGGAACCTAAAATGGGTTCAAGAGTTCCACCCATTGCTTCTACTCCTTCCATGACTTCTAATGATCCTCCACAAGAGATACCGGCCGGGTATTCATCTGTTTCTGCGATAGGGAAAATTGTGTTTACTCTGGATCACTTCTTCAATGAAGATGCTTGGAAAACTTTTAATAGTATCTACAAGGATGAGCCGATCAAAATCGAGAGAAATGTGCTTCTTGACAAGTTTCGAAATAGTCCTGGCAAAAAGCTTGTAGAGTATATCAAGACAAACAAATACATGGCTCTTCTTCACAAGGATTGACGTCAATTTTTCTCCCAATATGATTCATTATTTTTATGCCAACATCAAAGAGGCCAATATTCAAGATAACAAGTTTGTTGTAGCTCTTTTTGGAATTGATTATCATGTCAATGATGAGGTTATTGATGACATTCTGGGATTGGAACTTGTTCATGAAGATGATGGAATAATTATTCCAGTTGAAATATCGGAGCCAAGTATTTCATAAATTTATTATGTTATATGTGTCACGGGATCTCCAAAAGAACCTCACTTTATTCCATCAATTTGTTTGCCAAGGCCAATCTTGGATCTTTTGGGAAGAATGATGAGATCACCTTGGAATGAGTTCAGATTCTATACTTTCTGGCTACAGGAACTCTAATTGAGCTTAGTTAATCAATTGTGCGGATCATGATTCTTTATTACAAGAAGAACTTTCGTAAGAATGCTTCTTCATTTCTGATGATCATAATGGAATTTTATAATAAGAACAACATCATGATTCCTCCACGAGCTTATTATCAGAAGATAATGATGGAGTCGTGCCTTGAACAAGTCCAATACTGCTCGGGAAAATTCTAGGAAGGCACAAGGAGGTTCAGTTGCAACTTCATATCATATCCTAGATTCTGACAAGCTCTTCATGACCAAATGAAAAGTCACAAAAGATTACGCTAGTCTTTTGTTTGCTTCTCTACTTCAAAGTGATCGGATTGCTATGGATATATTTCAGTCTTTAGCGAATGAAGTTAGAGAATTAAGAGTTTAGGTTGAGAGACTTAGAGAACAGTAGTCGGGTATTTCTACTGAGGATGTTTATAGACCCGCATCTCCAAAGATTTTAAGAGAGCTGCTCATGATGATGAGGATGTTGAGAATGACTTTAATGGTGATAGTTCTAAGGGTGATGATGGTGATGATGTGGTGACATCTACGGTTCCTTTTGCTGGTGATGATCTTGATGATTGAGATTTCAAGACTGACTACAATTTTTGTTTTGTAGTTTTCAATTTTGGATACTTTGATTCATGATGTGTGCTTACATGTTCATACATAGTCATATGCATCATGATTTAGATGATATTTCTTTTTATGTGCTTGAACTTATTTTTGACATCTATGCCTTGATCTTTTCTTTTGTACTCTGCTTCCTATGTTTTTTATGTGCTTTGTCTTCTACCTTTGTCAATTTGTTCCAAACAGGGGGAGACATAATAATGTGACATTCAGGGGGAGGAGTTGATATTTAGGGGCTCAGGGAGTTTAATCACTAAAGTTTTTTTCTTGGTCTGGGTTAAGCTTTCACTGGTATTTTTGCTTGGCTCATGTGCAAAAAACATGTTGACACTTCAAGTGATGATCAAAACAAGTTGAACGAAATTTTGAAGAATAGAAGATCTCCATTTTATTTTTTTAACAAATTGTAATCTTCATTTTCTTCTTAGGTAGGTTACCAATTTGTTTTTAGGGTTTTGTCAAGAAATTGCTGAGGGGGGAGATTGTGAGATATAAAATTTGTAATTAACGAATTTGGTTGTCAAAACAAGTCCGATCGAGTTCTAATTTTAAGTTCAAGTTTCAAGTTCGAGATCGGAAGTGGAATTGATGAGTTGTTCATGATCAATAGATTGATGACTTCGAAAAGGGAAACAACAATACTTTAAGCAGCTTAGTTAGAAGGTAAGAACACTTGCATGTTTTCAAAATATAAGCGTTGACGAATTTTTCTAAGTGTAAAAGCCTTCAGTTCAGGTCTGGCAAACTTAAACTGGTTCAAGAGCAGCTGAACTGGCTCAAGTGTTAATGCTTTGTTTTTTTAAAAAATACACTGTCTAACTTGAACAGGTTGAAGGGCAACTGAACCGGTTCAAATCTTTCAGCAAAATATGATAACTTTGTTTCCTACTCTGTTTTAACTTCCTATTTTGTATAGAATTTCTCCTAAAAGCTTATGCACGAATTTGACTTGTTTTCCAAGTACAATTATGGCTTCTAAAGTCTGTAAAGACATACTTTTCTCACTTAGGGTATTGTGGCTTTTTGCATTAAAATTTTTTATTTTCATTGAGAGCCTTTTTCTAGTGATAATATTTTTAAGAACATACACACAATATACACATGAGTGAATTAGAATGTTGTTCAAATCTTAATCGTGTTCAAGTCTATTGAAGATTGCATCTACAATGATCAGAGAAAGCAAATTTTATGTCTTCTACAACAAATTTAGATTCAAAGAAGTAGAATTTTCGATCACACTTTGAAAAGATCTAGGCATTCGCGGAGTGTTGTTGATCTACTAGCAATCCTTCTATAAGGTTCAAGGCGTAAGTCTGAAGTTTAGAGCTGTTGGACGGGAAGTCGCAAAGCAAAGGGTGTTCAACAAATTGAGTCTTAGTAGAGTGAAGGGGTGTGATCTCGAGTCAAAATTTGGTGTACTTTGCTTCATATATAGTGGATCATTTTATACTCGGGACAACATAAAAATTCTCGAGATTTTCCAATTAATTTCCTTGCTAAAATCCGGTGTCACTCTAATTTTACTTTCTCATTATTTTATGTGTGTTTGTTAATTAACCGGTAATTTTAGTAGAGTAAAAATTGGATAAAGAAACACGTGATTAATCTCTCTCTAAAAAAGTTTTTAAGCCTTGACTTTCCATAACCTATTCAGTTGCACAACTCACATACAAGTCCATTAAGTTTGAAAAATGTGGCAAAGAAGGGCTTAATGTCTATATTCAGTCGGAAAATGACCTTTAAGAAATCATGTGTGTGACACATGACTATTTTAAGTTATAACATTCCTAAAACATCATTTTCCTTTCTCCAAAATGCCCTTTATACCATTACATATAAAAATCATATTTCCCTCACTTTTTGCAAATCCATCTCCCTCTTTCGTTGACCTCTCTCTTTCCTTCTCTACTCCCAAATTCTCTCTTTTTCCATGGCCTCTCGCAACTCCAAAACCTTATTGATTTCAAAGGCAGTGTAAGAAAAATACCCCTTAATGTTTATATTTTGGGGAAAATAACACCCATATCCTTTATAATTAGGGTTAGACTTTTTAGTTATTTGATATTTATTTAGTTTTTCACCTTTTTCTAAAGGGACTTTAGTCTTTTAATCGCTCCACTGTAATAGACTCTTATTTTCACCAAAAGTAAAGGTTAGGAACTTTTAAGAACCCATAGGGAGTTATATATATATATATATATATATATATATATATATATATATATATATATATATATGCATACTATAGAGGTGTTTGTTGCCCGCCACCATATTTGGTTATATATACTTCGACACACTACTGAATGATGGAAGCCATTTAAGGACAAAATCTCAATTGTACAATTCTAAAAACCCCAAGTATCATTGAGCAACTTGTAACTGGTTGCGATCTAAACGATTTAAATTCTAATTTATTAGAATTAATTCCAAATGAATTTAGATGATTATAATAGTTTGGACTCCACAAGTGTGGTTCGAATTCATTAGTAAGCAAACAAGTTAAGCTAAAGTTGAATTTTTAAACTCGTTCAATAAATGAATCGATGTCAAACAATGTGTAGGTTGGGTCATAAAAACTTGTATTAGCTCGTTTAAATTCACAAACTTCTGAAGTCTTTCTAGCTAAGCTCATTTTTATTAATTGTTTTTTTTTAAAAATTATATGAATATATTCATGGTTTCTCATGCATTTTTTAAAGAATTATCTTATGAAACTATATAGGCAA